AAATACAATATTAATTAAATTTCAAAATGCAAGTTACATTAATTTGATAGCATTTAAAAGTATTGAGTGTAAAAGCTATATAAAGGGGTCTTGAGAATTTCTTTTTCAAAGGAAGTTAGTTAAAAACTCTGAATCTTTAATATTAAAATATTTGCAAAACCATTCTATTTGACTAATAAAACAATAAACCATTATAGAATATTTTTGCTGTAACTTGTACTTAATTGATATTAGCCAATATTAAATTACCTTACCATTGACTATGATTTATCCACAAGACCTCAACTGACTTCCAGTCTAGCCTTCCAGCCACCAGGCATCTCTCAATTTCTCTTAACACATACATGTAAAACCAGACTGATGGCTGACAAACACACTGTATCTTGGCAGAAGTCAGTTTCCTGCATGCACAGAAGTAGCATCTAATCCAGACACCCTCTTAATATCTTCTAATACATTAACAGATTCAATGGAATTATAAAATTGCCTAATCATTTGCATTCTTTCCCTGAAACAAGGTCAACTATTTAATATTGATGAATAGATGTTCAAATTCCAGTACCTAAAAGACATTCAAAACTTTCTTGCTACAAAAGCAAATTTTTGCTTGCTATCCAGCCTTGCCTTTTAACAAAATCAGTGGTAAATACACTGGAACACAGGCCAGTTTTGTTTCCAGATAATTACTGCATACCTCATTTTGAGCCAATTTGCAAGAAGTGCTCTCATGTGCTTTAAGTGCCAACATAATTTGCTACAGCAAACTGGAAATAAATCATTCATCATCAAATAGTTACCACTGAGCACTCCTTCAAGCTTTCAAATATTAAGGACTCGGAACTTCCCTTAGAAACATCAGCTGAAAGAACATGGATACCAACATTAAGCAAAGAATCCATACTAGTAAGAGAACGTGCCTGACTGTTCTATCACCCAAACATTTCTCAGAGATTTTCCAGTTAAAGTCAGATTAACTCTGCTTACTTGGACAGATCTGACAGGATTACAACAATAAAAGCAATACCTTTATTTGAATCGGATTCATCGAGATTTATAAAGGATTCATTGCCAGAGCAGATTCTTGGCTTGATGGACAGGTCTATTCCCAGTTCACGAAGTTTATCCAACTTGGACTTCCTCACTTTTTCAGGTTGTGCCACCAATCCAGGCCCCACTTGTTGATTGCTTTTTTCACATTCTAAGTCTGGTGCTGTTTCATCTCCTTGCTCACAGGCATCTCCTCGCTCACAGGCATCTCCTCCAACTGCTAGAGGAATTTCATTCTCGTTTTGCTCACCACAGTCAGTGCTTAGGAAGTTAGAGTGCTGCTGTTCTCCTGTATTACTATCAGTTGTTACAGTCCTAACTGTAACAGAATCATCACTGTCCTGCCTGGGCTTTTCAGCACAGTCTTCTGTCAAGTTCTTCCCTGCATCAGCAAGAGGCTTGTTCACAGTAGTATCAACATCTCTGCCAAGGCTAGTTTCTGGTTCATTAGCTGCTGATTGATCACCTTCGATTCGCCCATCTTTGCAATCCGTGTTCAAGTTCTTAGTGTCTGCAGATTCTTCATTTAGGGATAGCTGGTATTTAGCAGACCTAATGAAGGCAGAAAGAAATCTATCACCCGTGGCTATTGTGAAAGGAGAGGAGAGGTCAAGAACAAACTCAGAAAGAAAGAAGTAATTTTCTAGTTATTGTAACTGATGTGTAGGAAGAGGTGAAGGACAGAAGTCTGGAAAACTTCGTTTTGAGGAGATAAGGAACTGTAAAGAGTTTGTACTAGGTAGTTACACTATCACAGTACAAAATTCCTGAGAGATTTTGTGACTACAGTAGCTTAAGTATTTTACTACACATTAATCAAAAGAAGAAATAGTCCAAGTAAAATGTTGGGGTCCAGCCTAAACCACATTAAAGTAACTTTGTGTGCACATGTTACTTTATCTGGAGTTACTGCTAGGCCCCCATCACTTCAATAGTACGACTGTATCGAGTGCAGCATTGCCTCATGGTATCAGTGACATGCTCCTAATTTCCAGGTGTTCACAGAATTAAAGGAGCCTAAGAAAGTTTCTTAATAAAACTTTCCAGTCAAAGCAACAGCTAAAATTAAACCAGAAAAAAGCTGTGACCGTACACAGAGCAGGTGTGTACGTTGTGCAATGCCTATAGCATGCAAAAATCTGGTTATCCTCAAAAGCAAAGCCAGGATATCCTCAAAATTTATGAAAAAATATGAGGAAGGTTTAAGTCCTTACTTCAGCAATGCCATGGCATTTCCTTGACATACTGGTCGAGGTCTACGCTTGAAGAAGTCGTGAATGCTTTTGGTTTCAGGCACATGATACGGGAGAGACACAGACGATTCTACCAGAGAAAGCAGGTGAAAGAAAATTTAAAACATCATCCAAGGCATTTATTTGATATCTCTGAAATTCAAAGAAGCTTGACACAAGTATTTGGCAGCAAAGACATCTGACTAGGCACAAACACCACAGTTTAAAACTTGAATACAGCAAACA